CCCCTACCCCCCCCCCCCCCCCGCCCGTTCCCTGAGACTTTTGCAGTTTTAAGATAATCTTTAAACTGATGTGGCTGATGTTATTATTGATGAATCATTATGAATAAGACTTTCTCTCTCTCTCTCTCCTTTTATTGAACTGAGTCTTTCTTCTTTTTTCCTTTTTTTTTACTTACTAGAACTTGTACTGATACTACATCAGTTTACACGAATAAATATATCGTTCATTATCCCAGGCAAAATAAAGCTGCAAAAATAGGGTTGCAGTACCATCAGATCTACTAAGTAGTAGCTGAGAATTTTGATAGAGAAAAAAAAACTAAAAAAATGTACTATTAAAAAAAGGCATTGGAATTTGAAATGTCTGTGGAAATAAACATCTTTCTGATGAGATCAATGTAGGCTATTGTCCAAAGTACTAAAGAAAAACATAGCCTTTTGTTAAGACTCCAAAAAGATAATTTTACTCCAACATATTACTATTGAAATTTGAAAACTTTAGACTCCAAAAACACATTATTTGGACATCAAATGAAGAGAGAGACCCTTCGAAATGGCGAGTTAGTTGAGCAGAGGACTTTCCAAATGAGAGGTTTAGAGTTCGAAACCCACTTGCATTTGAGTTTGTCGCACGGGCACTTGCCTAGTACGATTTACTCTCCTGTATAGTTTGCGGGCTATACAAGAGCGGGGTTTACCTTGTGCGATCCGAAGGAAAGCGTCCGCGAATTCGCTTGTTAACAAAAAAAAATGAAGAGGACTTTGTACAAGAATATACCTGTAAATGGGATTTAACATGTGCCAAGGTGAGATCTTTCACATCCATAAGCTCAAGAACTGACTTGGGTGTTGCTCCTACATTCACAAACAAAAACAAAAAATGAAACATTGTTAATTAAGCTCATAATATCTAGGTTTTCTAAGAAAGTTTAAACACTACACTCTAACAATAACCGTCCATAAAGACTAAGATCAATAATCTGAATAATAAGATAAAATTTTTACCACAATATGATAAATTATAGCACTATTATATATATAAGTTAAGTTATTTTTTCAGTGAGTTTAACTTTTTTATACCGACATTAAACAGTGAAAAATAATTTACACAATTAGATCACTTAGATAGCAGTCCATAAAAATTGGGATAAGTAATGTAACCTAAAAAACAAAACAGATTACTCAGGACAACAGGTTAAAATACACAAACCATATCAAACACCGTGCATATAAGCTAAATCCTTTCTCAATAATAATGAATTAAAAGATTAAACAAATATTTAAGCAGAAAAAACCTACTTTCATGTCCACCCAAAAGCTCAACAGCATGAATAAAACGAGCATGAAGAGTGCTAGTCCACCTCATTCTTGGAGCTCTCATACTCCTTTTAGCTGGAAATCTTGACATAAATCTTGATCTAATTAGCCCATTTTGATGATGATGATGACTGGACACAAAATGGCTATGGCTATTTGATGAAGAGATTGTATGGTTATAATTGAAAGAACTAACAGAAGATGGTATAGGTAATGTAGTTGTAGTATTAGTATTATCATATTGAAAATGAGGGTTTTGATTATAAACTGGAACTCCTCTTATAGGGTTTAGTACTTGATTTTGATGTAAAGAGTGGATGAAATTTGTGTTAGTGTTTTGGAGATGATGGAAATATTGGCTAGAATTAGGTTTTGGATTAATAATTGATGATAAAGATAGTTCAAAACAAGAAGAATTATTGATATTATTATTATTGGATGAGTTTCTTGATTCCAGTGCTCTTTTCCAAAAACCTAAATCCATTTCTTGATCTTCATTAGTACTATTACTTGTACTTCTCTTCCATGATGATGAGGGTTTGTTATTTGGAGGGCTAATTTGTAGGGATAAGTCCGGTTGCGCCGGGAATAACTCCATTTTTTTTTTCAAGAAATAAGGATATATAGAATTAGTAACCTGAAAAATAAGACAGATTACGAATAACTCATGATCTTTCTCCCTTTTCAACCTTGTTTGTTGTTTCTTGTATTTGTAAGTAGGTTAAAATAAGGACTATTTATCAATAGTATATGTATGAGTAGTGTAAAGATAAGTAGAGAGAAAATTTGGGATTTTCTTGAAATGGGGTTTGATGATGATCAATTGAAGGAGAGTGAGTAGTTGTTGGGATTTGAGATTGAGAGAGAAAGGGGAGGAAGAAATGACAAGGTGTATGAAGTGAATGGTTGTTTCTTTTGTGTGAAGTATATTTGAGAAAATGACACTTGAGGGGCTGTTTTGGTGGGGGGGGGGGGGGTAGGAGTGGGTAGTAGGTGGGGGGTTGGGGGTAGGAGTGGGTAGTGGGGGGGGGGGGTAGGGGAGGGGGTTTGGTTCTTGTGTGGACATGGGGTAAGATGAAAAGGAAGAAAAAAGATGAGGAGAAAAAGAAAAAGTAAAATGAGTTTTGGAACTTTGGTTCCTTTTTACTCTTTTTCCCTTCTTAACTTTTTGATTTTAACCCTAGCATTCTTTTGGGAAAGAAAAGGAATATTTTTGTGCAAGCTTTTATATGTGCATTTGTCCCTCAATAATTCACGTTTACCTTTTTAATAAAAGTATTAAGTTTTTATAACTTTAAGAGTTTAAAGTCAGTGCACCAATAGACAACTTATTTTTACACTATTATGTAAAATTATATATATAGCAACACGGTAACTAACTATAATAATTGTAATTCGGTAACCTAAAAAATAAATAAAATAACTTGTAATAACCGATTAAGAAAATGCTAATAGTGTAAAAAGTATATATAATGTCATTGTATATAAGTTAATCTTTACTTTAATTAGAAACCAAATGGTTGTTGAAGCGCCTATATCAAATTAATATTTACATGAAAGTAATGATTAGACAAAAAATTCCAAGTACTAATTACTGCTAAATCATCTAACAATCATTGTCATTATGATAATCCCTAATTAGAATCATTTATCTTACTGTTTCTACCTTATCAGAAAGTTTATTCAAAAGAGAAAATTAACCTTTAATTTTAAGCCCCATTCTAGTTTGCTCTTTATCATTTTAATTCAGATATCAGATATTCTAATCCTCCAGAGCCATATGTCACTTTTGTTCTATTTAGTACTCCCTCCGTTCCAATTTATGTGAACATGTTTGACTGGGCACGGAGTTTAAGAAAAATGAAGACTTATTGAATTTGTGGTCTTAAACAAGTCAAAAAGGGGTCTAGAGTATTTGTGTGGTTATAAAAACTTCTCATTAAGGGTAGAATTGGAAGTTTAAGCTAAATAGTTTTCAAATTTTAAAAGGGGTCATTGTTTTTAGAACGGACCAAAAACGAAATAGGTTCATATAAACTGGAACGGAGGGAGTATGTCTTTTGGTATGAGTAGAAATATTTTATTTAAACTATTTCCCGAAAAAATATTTCCAGTAAAAACTTTGTTTTACTATCCAATACTCTCTAAAATATAAAAACTATTTCAAATGGACTACCCAAGAATAGCTTAAAAAATCCCATGTTTTTCCTTTTAATAAAGAATATATTTCGGAAAGGTTTTTTGTTGTTTGTTTGCAAGAAAAAAAAAGTTTTTTAGAGAATTTTTTTCTTCGTACCAAACACACACCTTTAGTTCGTGAAAATTTGATTCATGATTTTAAAATTAGTTTCCTCGCAAATAGGCTAAACCTTTAATTTGTCTTACTCAATGTGAATTCAGATTAGTCGAGTTTTAATGCGAATATCGAATACCGAATGGAAAACTAAAACAAAAATTATTTGGCAACAACTACTACATATAGGTATGCAGATACAGAATAAGGTAAAGAAAGAAATGATATTATGCTTCAAAAACTTGCCCAAAAGAGTCATAACAATCTTACAATTTTCCAGAGAGACACATTAACTTATCTTTAGCAAGATTGCTTGACTTTGTTAGGCAGTGTTTAACCCTCCAATGTGAGACGTTCCAACATCGAATTTAGTCGGGTTCTAATATAAGTACCGAACTTCAGGTGAGATACCAAAAAAAAAAAATCAGACATTTTCCCCTCCTTTTATTATAATAGTGGTGTTTCGTCTAAACTAGTTCGGGAGCACCTCGATGATTTTATCTGATATCTGTTGTATACCTCCCACCAACATAAGTACTATAAGTAATTTTAACCACTAATGTTGACAGATAAAAACTAGTTCCCCCTTCGAACCAAGCTAAAATCAGAGGTGGATCCAGGAGTTTAAGGCAGTGGATATAGAGTACCACAGCACCAACTACTCCTTTGTGACAGTTAATGCATAAAAAAATCATAAATTTTCAATCCAAAGTTGTTTCCTTAGATATCTATAGCTAATACTGTGAAGGACTATCGACCTATAGCTTGTTGCACCATGTTGTACAAGTTGATTGCAAAAGTTCTTGCTGGGAGACTACAAAAGATCATGATCTGCATTATCTCAGAGGCACAGGCAGGTTTCATTCCTGGGAGAAGGATTGCGGATAACATAATACTTGCACATGAAATGGTTAAGTCATATAGCAGAAAACACATCTCCCCTAGATGTATGATCAAAGTTGACTTACAAAATGCCTATGACTCTATGGAATGGGTGTACTTGGAACAGGTTCTAGAAGGATTGGCTTTCCCAGACAAGTTTATAAAATGGTTAATGACTTGTGTGAGAACAGTTAATTATACCATCCTACTTAATGGGAAATCTGTACAGCCATTTAATGTTGCTAAAGGCCTAAGGCAAGGAGATCCAATCTCTCCTTTCTTATTTGTTATTGCCATGGAATACCTGAGCAGACTTCTCAATGAATTGCAACATGATAAAAAGTTCAAATATCATCCAAGATGTAGCAAGCTACACATAACTCATCTGAGTTATGCTGATGACCTGAGTGACACATCCTTAGTTCAAAGGCTTCAGGAGTGCTTCACAACTTTTTCAATAGCTTCTGGATTGCAAGCAAATCTACCTAAGAGTGTCATATACTGTGGAGGAATGGAGAGACTGACTAGAGAAGGAATCTGCCAGAATCTGGGATATTCTCAAGGTCAGCTGCCTTTCAAATACCTAGGAGTGTCATTGGATACAAAGAAGCTGACTATGCTACAATGGCAACCTCTCATCACCAAAATACTGCAAAGATTACTTCACGGACTGCAAAAAAAAACTGTCTTATACTGGAAAGGTCCAATTAATACAGACTGTGCTATTTGGAATCCAATCCTGCTGGGCTCAAATCTTTCCACTACTAGTCAAAGTGATTTAAATTAATTGAAGCCTACTGTAGAAGCTACACGTGGTCTGGTGGAAATGAAATCACAAAGAGGGCCCTCATTGTCTGGGATTAATGTCTACCTAAGACAGTTGGTGGGCTCAATTTAAGCAATATCCACATCTGGAACACTGCTGCCATTGCTAAAAAAATTTTGGAACCTATCTCACAAGCAAAACAAATTGTGGATTAAGTGGATTCATGCTGTCTACATCAAAGAACAATGCACAAATACCATGCTTATCCCCAGAATGCTAGCTGGATGATGAGGAAGATATTGGAAGCAGGGGAGGTTATCAGTCAACTACACAAGCCATTAGATGATAAGAAAAGCATCATCAAACAGATCTATCTTCAACTGATTTCAACCTTAAGTAAAACTAGCTGGAGAAGACTAATGTGCAACAATACTGCCAGACCTAAGGCCATATTTACAATGTGGCTTCAATGCCAAGGGAGGTTACTTACCGTGGATAGACTTAAAAAATGGGGAATTAATGTAAATGACACATGTGTGCTGTGTCAAGCAAGTTTGGAGACAAGAAATCACCTATTTGCTGAATGTGGCTATGCTAAAAGTTTGTGGAGTAGACTGATACAATGGGCACAGCTACATAACATCAGAAGTTCTACATGGGAGCAGCATCTACAGGTTATTTGTCAGCATACCAAAGGGAAGTCAACAACAGCAAAACTCCTCAAGATGATGTATGCTAAATATACACATGCTTTGTGGAAAGAAAGAAACCAACGAATATTTCAAGAAACGGCTAGAGATCACACAAGTTTGGCAAGGGAGATAGTTTGCATATGCAATCCTAGAGCTATTGGCACTGTAAAGAAGTTTGTACAACAGTTGTATTTTTAGCATAGTCTGTTGATAGTAATATGGCTTAGTGTTTTGAGATAGTATAGTCTTTACCTGTAAGTCTCATGAGAATTAACTAGCTGGGAGTAGCTAAGCTATGCATTGTAATGTCTTCTTTTGGTGATTAATAATAAGTTTTAATTACCAAAACATAAAAGATTAATTAAGGGTATTTCTCAATTGTAGTTTGAACTTGACTATCTATATAAAGATTAAAGGGTATTCTTTTCAAATAGAGAATGAAATACCGATGATTAAAACTATAGTCACAATAATTAACAATTCGAAATGCCTAAAAGGCATATGAAATATTGCGGTTAGAAAAAACTCGTTTGAAATCCGAGCTCTGCCACATAAATCGGGACGGAGTAGCGGACTAGTATGATAGCAATAAGTAAATACTAAATAGTGCAAATATATTTCACCAATCCACCATTTTATGTCTAAATTTTACTTTGAAAATTTTGTAACCTTTCTATATAAAGATTAAAGGGTGTTTCTCAATTTAAGTTTGAACTTAACTATCTATATAAAGATTAAAGGTTATTCTTTTCAACTTGAGAATGAAACATCGATGTTTAAAACTAAAGCAATATATTCTTTAAAATAAAGATATGAAGTAAAAACAAAGGGAAAATATTTTACTTCCTCTTCTTTATTCTTAAAAAGACACAAGAGTAAACGTAAACGCAACTAGAGTTATAATTATTGCAATGACTATTTATTTGGTGCTTCACTAATGGTCCATTATATTTACTAGATATAAATGATTGGTCCTATTACTATTCAGTTTGCATGGAGAAAATGTAAGTCTGAATCAATCGTTTTCACAATAAGAATATTAAATTAATTCAATATATTGACCAATTGGAAAACGAAAAATAATTAGAAAGTGTTTAATCACGCGGGACGTTTATATAAAATCAAGCAATTTAATATTAAAAGAATTAAATTCTAAAGTTGTTGTCGATGATCCATTTTGTATCAACTTATTAGTAAATGAGCCATTTTTATTTCTCTTTCAATTGATGGAACTTTTATACCATAATCTAAAAAACTTCTTTTAAGCAAACTGAATTGAAATTCTTATGGGAAACTGTTAGACCACAGTCTAAAAATTTTGTATGTTATTTATAAACGTTAGATCACGGTTTAATATTTTGTGAACAAACTGAAAATTATATGAGCAAACATTAAATCCGAGTCTAGTATTGTTCATAAGGGATAATTTTTTGAAGGATTATGTTTGCATAACTTTTTAAAAATAGGAATAAAATCTAAATATTAGCCTAAAAAGGGAACATTTGTGTAAACCAACCTACAAAATTAAAGTAAGAGTATATATGTCGCTTAACCACAATTAATTGACAAAATTAAAATTTATATACGAGACACGTATCTTGAATTAATTGGTTTGACATAAAACTGATCATGAATAAAAAAAATTCTAGCAAACATTTACCCTTATCCCCACCTCTCTCTCTCTCGTTCGATAAAACGTATCCACACCGGATGTTTGCCTCAAATAAATAAATGTATGACACGTGTTAGCACATAAATTTTTTTCATCTAACCATAGTTAATTAATAAATATTATTACCCAGTTAAATCACTTAATCATAATAAGTTGATATGAATTTTGTATAATGTGACGACCCAAAAGGTCATCATTTATTTTCTTATTCATTCTGTGCTTCCGAGGCCTTGAAAACCTCATTTAGGGTCGCCTCGATTTGCGTGCGCAGTCCGGCGTAGCTGGAAAGCTTAAATATGAAATTTTGTGAAAAATGTTAAGTTTTGATATTAAAATGAATAAATTTGACTTCGGTCAACATTTTGGCTAAACGGACCCGGACCCGTGATTTGACGGTCCCGCAGGGTCCGTAGGAAAATATGGGACTTGGACGTATGCCCGGAATCGAATTCGAGGTTCCAAGCCCGGGAAATAAATTTTTGTGTGAAATTGTTTTCTAGAAATAATTAAGGAAATTGGAAATGAAATTTGATTAGAAGACTATGGTATCGGGCCCGTATTTTGGTTCCGGCGCTCGGTACAAGTCTTATATATGATTTAACCACGTTTTGTAAAGTTTGGTTGAAAACGGACGTCGTTTGACGTGTTTTGGACTTAAAATGAAAATTTGATGTTTTATAAAATTTGGAAGAAATCATGGATTTTGAGGCTTAATTCGATGTTTATGATGTTGTTTTGGCGATTTGATCGCACGGATAAGTCCGTAGGATATTTTTGAGGTTGTGTGTATGTTTGGTTTGGAGCCCCGAGGGCTCGGGTGAGTTTTGGATAGGCCACGGGGTGATATTTTGGACTTAAGGAATTGCAGGCCTGCAGGCTTCGCATTTCCCAAACTTTTCTCGCAATTCCCAGGATTGTTCGCATTTTCCAAGCTTTGTTCGCAATTACCAGGCCTCGCATTTCTCAAACTTTTCTCGCAATTCCCAGGCTTGTTCGCATTTCCCAAACTTTGTTCGCAATTCCCAAACTTTTTTTCGCAATTACCAGTTCGCAATTCCCATATCTGCAACCTGCATTTTTCATACTTAGTCGAATTTTGAACAATTTTCACCATTCTTTCAAAACCCAAACACACTTAGGCGATTTTCCAAGAACAAGACTTCTTCCAAATCATTTGTAAGTTGATTTTTACTCATTTCTTTCAATTATTAACATCATTTAACATGTTTTCAACTTAAAATCAATGATTTTCATGGGTGAAATTGGGGGTTTTGGGTAGAACCTAGGTTTTTCTAAAATTGGGGATTTGGACCTCAATTTGAGGTCCGATTTCAAAACAAATCACATATTTGGGTTCGTGGGGGAATGGGTAACCGGGTTTTGGTTCGAACCTCGGATTTTGACCACGTGGGCCCGGGGGCGATTTTGGAATTTTAGGGCAAAACTTTGAGAAATTTATCTTTTTTTGCATTCAAATTGATTCATTTAGCGTTTATTGATGTAATTAAGTAATTTATGATTAGATACGAACGAATTGGTGGTGGAATCAAGGGGTAAAGCTATAATTGAAGCATGAATTATGTTCGAGGCATTGAGGTAAGTGTTTGGTCTAACCTTAGCTTGAGGGATTAGGAGTTGCGTCCTATTTACTATTTGTTTCTTGTTGAGTACGATGTATAGGCATAGTGACGAGTATCTATACGTCGGTGTCGAGTATGACCGTGAGTCTTATATTGTGATTTCCATGATTTCGTTGTATTATTCATGCCTTGGTGAAAATTTCTATTTGTTGTGTAAAGTTGTGAAAAGTATTGTGGCCTATGAACGTTGAGGAGCGTTGGCTCCAGTTGTATAATGAATTGTGAAAGTATAAGTGATAATTGAACCTCTAGAGCAGTGGCTCGAGTGATGAAGTGAATTGTGAAGTAAAAGTGAGAAAGAGGAGAGATCACTATGTTGCCCCCTTGCCGGGCTATTGTTGAGTTGTGGTTCCCTTGTACTGTGTTCTTAACTGATATTACGGATACTTAGGTTGATGATTCTTTGTGTTAGGTAAGGATTATGGTTATAGCTGAGGCAGTTAGATGTTGGGACAAGTTTGGGTATAGTTGAGGCAGTTAGGTATTGTAACAAGTTTAGGTATAGTTGAGGCAGTTAGGTGTTGTAACAAGTTTGGGTATAGCCGAGGCAGTTAGGTGTTGTAACAAGTTTGGGTAGAGCTGAGGTAGTTAGGTGTAGTAACAAGTTTGGGTATAGCTAAGGTAGTTAGGTGTTGTAACAAGTTTGGGTATGGCTGAGGTAGATAAGTGCTGTGACAAGTTTGGTTATAGCTGTTTCTTTTTTCCTTGCCGGGATAGTGTAGAAATTTTGATCCCTTATCGGGACTCTTGTTATATTTGTAAATATTATATATGGATCGGGTATCACGCGGCAACAATATTCTATATGGATCGGGTTGCACGCCGCAACAATATTCTATATGGATCGGGTTGCACGCCGAAATAATATTATATATGGATCGGGTTGCACTCCGCAACAATATTATATATGGATCGGGTTGCACGCCGTAACAATACAATAAAATGGGAGCGGGTGGTACGCCTACCACGAGATATAATGAAATGAGAGCGGGTGGTATGCCTACCATGAGATATAATAAAATGGGAGCGGGTGGTACGCCTACCACAAATTATAATGAAATGGGAGCGGGTGGTACGCCTACCACGAGGTATAATGAAATGGGAGCGGGTGGCACGCCTGCCACGAGATACATGAAATGGGATCGGGTTGCACGCCTGCAATGAGATATGTACTGACAGTGAAACCTGCTTTTATTTCCCTTATCCGTGTTAGAGTTAAATTATTGATGTTCTTTATTATTCTCTTGATATTCTGTTTTTACCTGTTATCCCCCGAAGCATGTTCCCCCTCTCATCCTTACTTGCTTATACCTGCTTTACTTTCCGTTGTATTTTCTATAACTGCACAGTTTTATTTGATAGTCTGGTCCTAGCCTCGTCACTACTTCGCCGAGGTTAGGCTACTTACCAACACATGGGGTCGGTTGTGCTGATACTACACTCTGTGCTCTTTTGCACAGATCCAGGTCCCGGAAAGCCGTAGTAGCTCGGGAGCCAGCCTTCAGTTCATTGAGACTCCGAGGTAGCCTTGCAGGCATCCGCAGGCCCGGCGTCTCCTCTATTTTTTATTTATGATCTGTTATCTCTTATATTCAAGACAGACAGTGTTACTTTCTTTCAAACGGTTGTATGTAGTAAATCTTAGTAGTCCGTGAATGTTGTGACACCAATTCTGGGTAGAGGCACATGTGGATTTTTCCTTATTATTTGGTTTATATCGTTTAATACTTCCGCTAAATTACAAATTCCGTTGTTGTTTAATTATTTATTTTCTGTTAATTAAATTGGTAGAAATGGATTTTAAACAAAAGCATTTATGGATTCTAGATGTGTGGCTTGCCTAGCTCCTACGAGTAGGCGCCATCACGACCCCCAATGGTGGGAAA